AAATTACAATACACACACAAAAAAATAGTTTAATTTTTTCTCTCTTTAAACTAAGGAATGAAAGAAAAAAATAAAATAAGAATAAGAAACTAAATAATTATAATAAAAGAAGTCAAAAATTGGTTTATGTATGAAAAAAATTAAAATATACCTTGAATTTTGATAGAAGAATTATATATACCCCTAAATAATATTTTTTAAAAAAAAATTAGAAGTAATAAATATAAATTTAAAATTAATTTTTTAACTTTCGTTAAACGAAGGGTATATGTGAGCAATTTTGTAAAGGCATGGGATTGTTTGTCGATCCCACTCCTTTTTAACTGGACAGTAGCGATTAGCAACGGGCTTTTCGTCTAAATAGTCTGAGGATGCGTACCAAAGCAGGTGCTTCAATGGCAAAATCATTCGATGCCCAGAAGTATCTGAAGAGAGTCGGATTAGGGAAAGAAGATTATCACTTCTGGAAGCAAGTGGGAAAAGCTTTGCTCTGTACTTACACTCTGTTTGGTGTGGCGTGGGTGTGGAATGAAACCTCGCCGCTTGGTTGGTGGACTTTAAAGCCACGGCCAAAGGAAGAAAAAGAATTAGCACATCTATACGAACGCCGGAAATTTCCATATCCAGGTGACGAGAAAGCCATGGAAGAATTCGTTGCCAAAGGTGGGATGATTGGAACTACAATTGGTCCCAAGGGAATCATCGAATCTGATAAAGATTCATACAATTATCAGAAAGCATTGCAGGATAAGAAAGTTGACCAAGAAGCCTTCAAGCTATGGACGAGGATGAGGAATGAGGTCATTTCTGAGCTTCAAGAGAAAGGGTTTGATGTAGAGTGAGTTAATTACTGTTAATCGGATTTGCTTCTCTCATGCTTATACCTTAATTGCGCATTTTGTACCTTGCAAATTTACTATTTTGTAGTTGGATGTTTAATGTGGGGAATTACGGAATAAGGTTTTAACTATTTTAGCTCAATCAAGTGCTTTCTCCGCTCTGGTGGACCTTTGCTGTTTATCCTACTTTAATTTGCAGAATGTGATTTCATCTGTTGTTTAAGTTTGAGTATTTACTTCAGTCATAGTATCTATTGATATGATGCTATACTTGATTTTGTCGTTCAAACATGTGCTGACTGCTGACTATCTTAAAGTTTCTTGATCTGGATCACCTCCTAGTTGTTCTCTTTCATATTATAGGAACTCTTTTATGGTAATCTGACTAATCTCTGGTATTTCATTTCTTTGTTTTCTTAAGTCCACAGTTGTAATCTTATAATTGTTAGATTGTAGTAAAACCAGTTTCATTTCTATGGTTGTTCCCGTTTTTACTCATATAGTATCTGATTTTTACTTAGGTTTTCTGTAATTTTGTGTAGAGAACAGATAATGACATGCTCTCATCAATACCGTTCTTGTCATTCTCTCTCTCTCTGAAATGCTTGAACTCTGAGACTGACTATTCATCGCTGAAATTGGATTTATTCATGCATGCTAATTGCTAGCTCTTGTTTTAATATAATAAATGAGTTGGTAAGATAAATTGACACACATTTATCATTTATTCTTTTATACAAGAACTATAGTCAATAAGATTTTTGCCTTTTCCTTATCGTAACTCTCTACAGTTGAATGTTGTTAGAGAAGAGCAAACTGTATCCCTGATGTATTTTTGAATAACTGCTAACTGCGATGACCATGTCTGAGTTTCATATTTCCAACAGGAAATAGTATGCCAAAGCAATTGGTATTGCAATCAGCATGCCAAAGATTACCCTGCAATCAGAATGAAACCACATCAGAAAAATCATATCTGCTTAAAATTTTCTTAGTGGAGGAGTTAAAAGTTTTGAGATGATAATTGTATCTGGTACCCTGTACTTAAGATGGTTGGATGTATGTTATACTCCTTGGCAAACACAAAAGGAACGATTCCTTGGGGAAGGGCTGCCTGCAGTAGAAAGTACAGCATTGAGTAATCTGGCATGAATTGACAACAGAAAACAATTTAGTTTCACCTGTACTATTGCCAATCTAAACAATTTTCCCTTTAGTCCAACAACAATAGATGAGATTGCCATGAGAACAGGTCCAAGAACAAACTTCAGTGCCATTGCTAATATTGCCTTTTTGGTTCCGCATGCTATAATACTATCTTGGGATGCCATGAAAACACCTGTTGAATTAATGCAATATGAGTGGCTGGCCATTTTTCATTTTTGGTAATTCGCTAGTACTTCGTGTGATGAGTGCTTATTTTCTGTTGTGTACCTATGCTAAACATTGCCATTCCTAGTCCACCATCTGAAAGTATTGATATTGATTGTTCAACAATTTTTGGCAGATTGACTCCCCACCTGCACTTCATTTTGTGTAAAAAAAATAAGTCCATTGATTTTTAATTCGGTGTTTCTGTAGAAGATAGGTTTTGGGTTTCTAGAGAGGCTTAGTAAGGGTTTCTAGAGAGGCTTAGTAAAGCTTTACCTGAAGTGTATGCTTGACCAAATAATACCGGCTAGAGTTGCATGTGTATTAGGATTTATTATGAGTTTCCTTCCAACTGTTAGAAGAATTACCATAATTGTTTTCTTCCTTGGGGGTCTGTCTGTCGCTTCCTCCTCACCGTCCTCTTCTAGTTCTGGTTCTCCAGGGACCTCAAGCTCTACTTTGAATGGTAGAAATTTATGTATTAAGACAAAAGAGCAGGCATAATGATGTAATGTCTGCATAAATAGTCGTCATGTTGGAATGGTCATCATTTATAACTTACAAATTGCTAACTTCTAGTGAGCTGTTCTATTTTTCTTTTGTTCTTTTTTTTTTTTTTTGGGGGGGGGGGGGCAAGGTGGGGTGGAGTAGGGGGAAGGGGGGCTTAAGGGAAGTAAAAATTAAGCTGGTTGGTTGCATCATATAGTAATTTGGTTAGTTCGGAACTTCAGGAACCAATTATGGCTACTGTCTACTTTTTTCATTGTTGAAGGGGTTATCTCAGCAAACTTCCTGTTTGTTTCATTCAGATGAGTTGGAAGTATTTGTCTCTCACAAGTAGATGAATCAACTCATTTTGGTAAAGCAAACTTATATTTCATTGGAGACTGTTCACCTCTTAGTTCTTGAGTTTTTGCTGCCAAACTACAATAATAAGTTTTAGGATTGATCAATGTGCTTTAAGAGATGAAGCAAGTTGTGGTTCATTCCTCTAGTTTTGAATTCTGACTAGCTTTGAAAATGGAAATGGAACATTTCTTAAAATAGAGTTTTGTCATGCTTCACGATATCACATATTAGTTTATCTAAAGATCATATGATACAGGCTAATTTGGAATTTGTGGGGCCCAGAATAGGATTCTTCACTCACTTATCACATCTACAATATATTGCTTTTTGGTTTTTAACAGTTCAAATTGGAGAGCTTTAAATAGGTTCTGTTACATGGATGCCATCCAAATAGATATTCTACGTTTAGGAACCATTATTCTGTTATCTGAGTACGTACCTGCTACTTCTGATGGTGACATCACATAAGATTCTTTTGTTGCATTGAGCTCGAATAGGAGTAGGAGGAGGTTGTACCAGACTAAACTCTGTAGTGCAATTAGCTGCGCTAGTAGTTCTGCTGCCGCATCTCCAAAAATGGCCTTAATTAGCGGGATCCCCAAAATTAAGGTGTTTGGAAGGGTGGAAACTGAAAGACCTGTTATGATCCAAGTCAGGTTTCCTTTGGGCTTCAGTTTGGATAAAATTGCCAGTAGAAAGACAGCAAGAAATTTTTGAACGAAATCTGCTAATAGAAGCTTCAGGTTTACTTTGTAGAGGTTGCTTCCTGATATCACTTGGAAGGACAATAAAGGTATTGAAAATTTCGCTACAAACTTGTTGATTCCAGAGCATTGCTCTGGTGAAAAGAGTTTCCCCCACCTTACAGAGATATAGGCTAAGATCATGACAACATATAAAGGTATAGTGGCTGCCACAACATGGTAGACATCACGTAGGGATATCATGGTATTTCTTATAGATTTTTGTATGTCGAAACCTTGGTAAACAGGCCCTTTTATGCTGTTTGGTTTGCTTTGTTGGCATATGATGGGAAAGTACCACTAGATCTTTCTGCTGAAGCTTTCTGACTAATCTTTTTGAGTTTTATCCCAGCATCTGTTGATTTTCAAATTTGAAAGTATTTACTAACCTATGGCTTTGTAGGTTCACATATATTGCAGAAAGTATCTGATTTTTTATCTGTGTGTCTTCCCTCATATTACACACCTTTTTTAGGCTGAAAATTTGATATTACTGATGTTTACAATACTCAAATGCCAGGTATCTAATCTTGTTTAGTTAAAAAGTTAGTTCTAGTTTTCATCATGAGGTTAATCCCTTTTGCTTATTTGTCTTTTGCTCATTTCTCATGTGGCCTAGGTGTTAGCCTATGCATATCACAATAGACGGAAATAGTAAGCTATACAAGCTTTAATCTGTCTCCTGTTTTGTGTCCCACATGCACTTTATTTCCCTGTAAGATTTCATTTAGGAAGAAGAGGTATTTCACTGCACTTTATATGCAGTGATCTTTACTGCACCAAAATGCCCTTACATTTGTCTTTAACTTTGAATTCAGGGGTGAAAATCTGTTAAGTTGATCCTGCCTAAATTTCCATTTATGCAGTTGCATAGCCTTTAGCTGCCAGGTTATCTGGAAAAGTAAGCTAGGAGAATAAAGAAGTAAACTGCAAAAGAAGTAACTGACTTGATGAGTAAATAACGTCTCTGAAGTAAGAATTTTTGCTATATATGGTCAAAGTTTTGGAATAAGTATTACAGGGTTTTGCTTTTATAGCTATGCAATTTTCACAGGCCAAGTTCTGGTGCCTCTTTATTATTATTATTATTATTATTTTTGAGAATTTCTCCACTTGAAATATGGGGAATCTAGCCAAGACACACCTACAAAATACCGTAATCTCTTTTCCTTCCTTTTTAATTTTTTCTTCTTTTTATCTGTGGGGGTGGGGGAGATTTGCCTTTCTGTATTAAAAGACAATTTATTTAGAAATATCGAAATCAAATGATCTGAAAATAAGAGTGAAGTGAATTCAACTAGATTCAAATTTGAGGTGTAATGAATTGATTGATACAATGTTCTTCATAGAACTTTTCCTGATTCTCTATGTGGTTAGCATTTGAAATCTCCAGGGTGGATCCACGATTTAAGCTTTACGGGTTTAATGTTTAAGGTTCTTATAATTAAATCTGCTATATTATTAAGATTATGGGTCAATTTCAGTAGAGTTTTACACCTAATAAATTTATGCTCAACGTTGGAACTATTGATGACGATTTCTGGATATTTATTGCAATTCACTTGTTCTGTTTGACTGTTTATATTGTATGTTTTGCTTTTAATAAGTAAACTATTCTTAGAGCTAAGCTTAAGCTTAGCACATTCTTTCCTCTCCGGAAAATATGCAGATCACTTTTTCTGAAAAAATACTCCTTTTTGAAATGGTTTTCCCTTGTTAAAGAAGCCTTCTTAATCAATGGATTTAATCAAGCCTTCTTAATATACAATTGATTATTAAGTGTTTGATATAGTGTAAAAACAAGACTTGCACATCTTATCGTACAAGACTAGCTTTATACAACAAAAGTGTATAAATTTTGTTCCTATTTTGTATAAAGCGAGAGAAAATTGTATATACACATGCAAAAACATATATCTTTGTGCTATACATTTAATTATACAATTTATAAATATTTTACTTCGATTTAATTGTATACAAATGCAAATTTTATATAAATATTGCAGCGAAAAAGGCCAGCGAATTATACAATTGCAGTGAAATACAATTTTCTCTCGCTTATACAACAGAAGTGTATAAATTGTGTTTCTGTTTTTGTATAAAGCGAGAGAAAAACATATATCTTCTTCCTATGCATTTATAATTATACAATATACAAACATTTTACTTCGATTCAATTGTATACAAAGCAAATTTTATATAGATATTGCAGCGAAATAGGCCAGCGAATTATACAATTGCGTTGAAATAGGCCACCGAATTATACAATTGCAGCAAAATAGACTAGCGAATCATACAATTGTATATGTATAGCGAAGCCAGCGAATTATACAATTTAGGCCAGCAACTTATATAATTGTATATGTATAGTAAATTATACCGTTATATATTTGCTATGGAACGCAATTATGTAAACTTTGTTACAACATACAGATATAAATTTTTTTTTTTGTTATACGTAAAAGTTGCACAAATTTTTTTTCCCTCTAGATTTCATAACCTTGTGTTTGAAAGTGAGATTTACTTACAATTTTACACCCTCATGTCTCCTATTGGAAATCAAATTATGTATCTATAAGAAATCTAACAGTTTGTTGGCCTTCTCAAAAGTCAAATCAACAAATTCTCTATTTGCGCCATCTTCGTTTTTTTTCTATCCTAAATCATGGGAAGTCACGAAGAAATAATTATGGAACTCTTTATCTCTTTTTCAATTCAAGTGTGTTTCAAAATTGCGGAATACTTTAATATCTGAACCTTACTTATAAAGAAGTATCTCAATACGAATCAAAATTCCCAAAAGCTGCTTATTACCCAAGTGCCGCGCGGTAAGTACAGTAATTCTTATAACTTGTATACTTCTTCTTTTATCTTCTTCGTCTAAACTTTAAGGCCTTGTATATATAGTTTTTCATTTACGTCTAATGCATGATTTATTATACGTTTATAAGGACTATCAACCAACTAATTAATGTCTTTAGAGGAAGAACTAATCTTCGGGCATTTTTGGACCATAAGTTTTTAATTAACCAACCATGCACTTGTACAAGTTGTTTACCTTTGAAAGATAATGGCTATGCACATTTTACGCTATTTGTCCATTAGTATTTAAACTACATTTTTCCATCAACAAAAAAACACATCTCTTTACGTTGCTGCTTTTTTAGGCTACAACAAAGAGGGTCTCACCTCTAAACAGCCAAAGGGTTTGACCCAATTAAGACCTTCTTTCGTTTTTATTTAGAAAAAAAAAATACTTTAACTAGTTAAATTATCATAAATCTTTAAATGGGAGGAACAAAGCTGGTATATTTGTCTCTGTTACTATTTTCCACATTTTTGGTAATAAATGGTCACATTGGTGAGTTTGATGAGGTGTGGAGGAGGAGAGCCCAGGAAGCAGATGAATGGGCCATAAAGGCTTACAAGCCCGACCCCATCAATGTCACCCTTGCATTTGCTAAGGAAACTGGACAGTACGTTAAATTCACTAATTTCTCTTTTTAAAATCTTTTTGATGCCTCGCAATTATAGTGACTGACATCAATAGTAGTACTATTTAATTAGGTGACATTTACACATAAAAAGATAATATTTACTGTTTTTTGCAACAACTTTCTTAAGAACAACTTCAATTTCACTAAAACTGGGTAACGATTTAATTATTTGAGACCTTTCTAATTTAAAACAAACACTTCAAAACAGGGCCTTAAAGGAAATAAAGGAAGCGAAGCTGGCAGTAAATGGAACAAGGAGGGAATTAAAAGGAGGCGGCAAAAAATACGATGGGCCTTGCTCAGTTACCAACCCAATTGATAGGTGCTGGAGATGCCAACCTGATTGGGCCGACAATCGCAAAAGGTTAGCTGATTGTGCAATGGGCTTTGCAAAAGGGACTACCGGAGGAAAAGCCGGCGAAATCTACGTCGTCACGGATTCTTCCGACGACACTAGCGACCCTAAGCCGGGAACCCTCCGATATGGTGTCATTCAAAAGGAGCCATTATGGATCATATTTGCTAAAAGTATGACCATTAGGCTACACCAGGAACTCATAGTGCAAAGTGATAAGACCATTGACGGCCGTGGAGTTAATGTTCACATTGCTAATGGAGCAGGTATTTATCGAGCTCGCAATCAAATATTTTATTTTAAAATAAAAAATAAAAAGTTGAAATCTTATATTATGTTTATGTCTGGACAGGTTTCATGCTCCAGTACGTGAAGAACGTGATCATCCACGGTCTCCGCATTCATGATATTGTGGTGGGCAGTGGTGGGATGATCAGAGATGCAATGGACCACGTTGGACAACGGACACAGAGTGACGGAGATGGTATTTCTATATTTGGTTCATCGAATATATGGGTGGATCATGTCTCCATGTGGAGTTGTTATGATGGGCTTGTTGATGCTATTGAGGGATCCACTGCTGTTACCATATCGAATAGTCATTTCACTGATCATAATGAGGTGATGCTTTTTGGTGCGAGTGACAGTTCTTCAATTGATCAAAGGATGCAAATTACCGTGGCTTATAATCATTTTGGGAAGAGATTGATACAGAGAATGCCAAGGTGCAGATGGGGTTTTATTCATGTGGTTAACAATGACTACACACATTGGAATATGTATGCTATTGGCGGTAGCCAACATCCCACTATTATTAGTCAAGGTAATCGTTTCATTGCTCCTCCTGACATGTTCAAGAAAGAGGTAACAAAGAGGGACTATTCCCCAGAATCAGTGTGGAAACAATGGTCATGGAGATCACAAGGTGATCTATTCATGAATGGAGCATTCTTTGTTGAATCTGGAGATCCAGATTGGACCCAGAAACACATACAGCTTTTTGATGGGGTTGTATCAGCCTCAGGGGATCAAGTCACTTGGATTACAAGATTTTCAGGGGCACTAAATTGCAAGCCAGGAGAAGCTTGTTAGACCATCATTGTTCTATAAATGTTATCACCAAACCAAACTCTCTCATCAGTCCTTAAACTAACTTTGTATGCATTTATTGTATCGAAATTCTCTGTAATTTTGAACTGTTAAATGACGAAATTGAAAAGATGCAAATTCACACCAAGCTATACAACTTTGTGTCAATGTTCTCTTATATTTTCTTCTATATTACTAGTTTTTTCGTAAAACTAACATCTGCTTTAAGAGGCAGGAGGAATTCTAGTAAGAGCGAGTTGAAAGCAATACTATCTTCCTCTGTAAAGAAATGATAAAAATAAATAAAAATTTAACTTTGTTGATTCGCAATTATCAACGTACAAAAATCTAAAAAGATTGTATATTGCTTACTAATTGTTATAAGGCTTATAACAGTTAAACAATTGTTGTTAGCCTCTCCCTTTCTTCCGAAATACAAATCCTAGATACACCTCTGGCAAAGAGAAAATACAGGTTAAGGAGAATTTACGTAGTTCCTAGATTATGCTGATGGATATTTAGAGATACTCCAGAATGTCACAAACGATTATTATATTAGTTATGCTGTTGATTAAAAGTACCTCAAGAAATCTATTTTCTCATCTGCCCCAAAACATGAGCTTCACATAAACGTTAGCAGCAAGGACTTTCAGCTGCGATCAGCAATTGCTGATTAGGCACGTACCTTCTAAGTTCCCACACTCAATCTGAATAATTTTGCACTTAAGAACTCTCAGATTCATTCCCTGAATCCATGGCAGTCGGCTGAAGGTTCCTGTAATCACTGATCTGTTTGCTGTAGCGCTTCTTATCTGCCTTTGGCCATGACCTCAAAGGGTTTTTTCTCCTCAGATGCAAAATCATTAATCCAGCAAGTGAGCTTATAAATGTATCACCTGCCCTATGATATAAGATAATTAAAGAAAAAAGCACAAAACAGACTGTAACAAACATGACTAGCATTGTACCAACCGCCTTTAAATATAAAATAATGAAACAAATAAAATAACTACCAGAATGCCACAAAACGCTTATTCCATCTCTCCAGGAATCCTCCCAACTTCATAAAAAATGATTTCAGGATTATTTTGCTTCATAGAAAATGATTTCAGGATTGTTAATAACATGATGATGCATGGATTAGTGGTTTTGGTAGCCCGGCCTCCAAATATATTCATATGAGGAAAGCTACTGATACGGAAAGAAGACTTTGTTTCCTTCAAAATGAACATTATATTCTGACCACAGAACGCAGCAGAAGTCATTGGTTTACTAGGAAGGGAATCATGTAGCAAAATACCTACCTCCCTTTCGCTCTGCAAGAAGTACATGAAAGCACTAATTGCCTTCTTCGGAGGATTTGGATCCCTCTTCTTTTTCTGTTTTTTTCTACTTCAATGCATCATTGTCGGCCTTTTTCCTGCTTGTGATGGCTTTGACACAGTAACCTCCTTTTTTGGTTTCTTCTTTGCAGGTTTCTGAATCCAGCATACATGACTGTCAGCTCATATTTTTTCAATTTGTAAACTAGAACTTGAAAATATATAAACATGAAGGGCAGTTATACGTCCACCACCGCTACCACTGGCATCAGATTCATCCTAACTTAGAGAAAGACGACCATGGAGTTGAATACGATGAAATTACAAATAGGCATTTTACCTCTTCACCACTGCCATCCCCACGTGCTTCATTCTTAATACGCTCAAGATGTGCATCAACAGCATCATCTCGTCATTGGGCAAAACAAGAACACCTTCTGTAGCCCGAGCTTCAATAAGGTTCATAGTTTCAGATCCTTTCCACTGCATTACTCAATGATTGTGTCAGAAAGGCTAAGCAGACTTGTTAAACCCAAATTGAGAGAGAAGAAGACTTGAAAGTAAAGCTAACCGGATGAAATAAAAAAGATTGTAGTACTCATTTCTCTGGATGTTCCGGAAAAAATAATCTTGTTCAGTTTTCAGTCTGGCAAGAAGATCAAAGTAATGCATGTTGCCCGTGCCTACAGCATGCCTCTCAAACTCCACATAATCAATCTGATTGCATAATGAATAAGGTCAGTCTTTTCAAGAATGAAGATGATACTCACAAGATTTTGAGCTTTACAGCAACGTGAATATACCCCCTTATGCAGTATAAATAAGAAGGATAGAGGAGTCCATCTTCAGCCTGCAGTGAGGTCTCCACCACATATTGACTGCTACGGAACTTCCCTGGTCTAGTGACTTTGGAACCAGACAAGCCGCTTAAAATTTGAGTAAATATGTCATGGATAAGAACCTGGTTCATAATTTAAATTAGAGAAGTAAACAACACCAAACACGTCAACACAATGAGCTTGCACTGCTTTTTTCACAGTTGATGCAAATCCGAATGACTATAAACACAAGAAAAAATTAAAAAATCTAATTACCTAGTAACTCGTTAGCCCCCACTCCTTGTATTTCGTATTTAAAAGATCTTGGCTTAAAGCCAGCGAAAGGTCTACCACACTGTAAGTCTCAAACTGGTAATATAAAAGAGCAGGTGATACCAAAAATAGAATGTACGTCATTATACCATATGCATCAATCAATACCTGCAAATACAATGTACGCATATACAAAGTTTGGCGCTTCATGATCGGAGGATCAAGAGGGACAGACAACTACTGAAGTGTGTGGTTGATTAGTCTGCAAAAGCAGAGAAGTCGGTTTGAATTATACAATTGCTTAAAAGTTCAATGAAGACGATTGTAGGCATGACTAAAACATTGATAAAGATGCTAAACGGGGAACAGCCTTGGGCAACAAAAAACACGGACTAGGCTGTTGTACTGAATTTTAAAGTCATTGGCTTGCCCATGCAAGTGCAAGAATGAGAGATGAAGCTCAACATTGTAATATCCTACAGCATATGGGCGGGCACATTGCCAGTCACTCTGAAGCAAAAAAATAGATAACAACATGGAAAGCGCTTAGCCAGCCTTGGAGTAAGTATTGCAATTCCGTCAAACCAACAGCTTCCTGACCAGTCAATTGGCATGATTTTTTCACGAAGAAACTAGAAGTTACAATCACATTACTCAATTTTCACAAAGACAAGTTATCGGAGAGTCCAGAAGCAGATGAATAAGCCCGACCCTATCAATGTTACCCTTGCATTCGCTAAGCAAACTGGACAGTACGTTAACTAATTTTATCCCCAGGTCCCTCTCCATCTCTTTTTTTGTCATTTATTTTTTTCCATGCAAAGATATTTTTACAATTTATATACTCCCTCTAAATAAACCGTTTTAGGGAAATTTTTGTCATTTTAATCGAGAAGGGTCCAATTATCAATTAACTTAATACCAATTTCAACTATTTATTTAATTTTTTTTTAGAAAAAGAGCCTTCTTAACGAGCTAGTACCAAGCACAATCGTAAACTGTTTATATTTCGACAGGTAATTTCTTACGTGAAGAACGTGATCACCCAAAGACACTGCATTCACAACATTGTTTGTAATGATCAGAGACGTGGTAGACCACGTTGAACAACGGCAATGAAAACAGAATTTCTACATTTGGTTGATAGAATTTTCGGGCAGATCATGTGCCAATGTGGAGTTGTTATGACGGGCTTGATGATGCTGTAGAGGGATCCGCTGTTGTTACCGTATCGCATAGCTATTCCACTGACCATAACCAAGTGGTGCATTTTGGTGCAAGTTAAATTGCTTACATTGATTAAAAAAAAGGCAAATTACAATCGCTTCTAATCATTTTGGGAAGAGATTGACGTCTAAGTCCGACATTTTTCACATTCAGCTACCAGGTGTTGCAACAAATTATTGGATGTGGTAATCACAGATCTGCAATTTCATTGGCTATTTTATCAATTGAAAAAAACTGAAACAGGAACATATAAACCTCAAATTCTAGAGACATCTCTAATAAAAAGCTCAGCAAATTATAAAATTACCTTTTCATATCCGGGAAACCAAGTTAAAGGAGAATTTACGTAGCTCCTAGATTATGCTAACACATCATAGAGGAATGTCTAGAGTACTCCAGAATATCACGAACAATTATATTTCATTAAGATGTTGATTAGAAGTGCCTCACGAAACCTATATTCTCAACTTCCCCCAAAACTTGAGCTTCACATAAAACATTAGCAGCAAGACCTCCAACTATGAACCACAATTGCTGATTAGGCACGTCAACCTTCTAAGTTCCCACACTCGATTAAACGATTTTGCACTTAATTACTCCCAGATTCATTCCCTGAATCCACGACAGTTGGCTGAGGGTTCTTGTAATCACTGATCTGTTCACTGTACCGTTTCTTATCTGCCTTGGCCATGGCCTCAAAGGGTTCTTTCTCCTCAGCTGAGAAACCATTAACACAGCAAGTGAGCCAATTATATAATTGAAGAAAATGAAAACACAAAACAGACAGCAGCAAACATGAGCATCAAATCAACCGCCCTTGATAATAAAATAATGAAGCAAATAAGATACCAGAATGCCACAAAAATAACCAACCTGACAGCTTATTCCATCTCTCTCCAAGAACCCTCCCTACTTCAGTGAAAGCAATTCCAGGATTACTTTTCTTCACATTCTACAGTAAACGGAAGGGAAGTGAATGGAATGTTACAACCATGATGAGTCTTGAAATGTACCTCAAAGCAAGAAAACACACCAACTCACAAAAGAAGCAGGCTAATACGGTAACAGCAGGTGGGTGTAATTTCCAACAAACCAGAAAAATTATAATAAACTTTTGTTAAACATATACGTCTTGGGCCTAACTGACACCATCATAAGAGCCTCCCATCTCATTAATCACCAATTTAGTCCCTATTTTTTCTTCCACCTCCGAGCACTCTACTCTGTAAGGCCACTAAGTCTCTCAGGCAACCCTGCACTAGGAATAAGCCCTTTACACTAGTAGAACAGAAGGCTGTCTAGACATGTCATTGTCCTCGAGGAAATGAATCTACCACCCAGAATGCCTCTAATTGGATGAAATGCCCATGAAAGGTACCAGTTCAAGGAACTCAATTATTTCAGGATTTATATCATAAATAAAGGGATTCTAATATGGGATTATGGACTCCTTCATTAAAGGAAATGGGATTATGGGCCTCTCCTCCATTAAAAAAAATGGGATTATGGACCCTGGCACTTTTAAGTCTGCTACGGATTTATCAACTTGATGATGGACTAAATTTTGTAGTAGTTAATACGATCATGCATGGATCAGTTGTTTTGAGTAGCCCAGGCTCTAAATACATTCGTGTAAGAAAAGCTAAGACTTAGATACACTGCATTGGGTGCCTATTTTTATTCATCTTATGGGGAATGAAGACTTGTTTCCTTCAAAATGAACATTATATGTTTCAATAATTCTCAGAACAAAAAACCTGGCATACAGACCACAGAACGCGGGAGAAGTCATTGGTTTTCTAAGAAAGAAATCATGTAACAGAGCACCTACCTCCCTTTCACTCTGCGAGAAGTACATGAAAGCACTAATTGCCCTCTTCGGAGCATTTGGATCCTTCTTCTTTTTCTGTTTTTTCTTCTTCGATCCATCATCATCTGCCTTTTTCCTGCTTGTAGATGGCTTTGACACAGTACCCTCCTTTTTAGGCTTCTTCTTTGCAGGTTTCTGAATCCAGCATACATGAATGTCAGCTCATATTTTTCCAATTTGTAAATAAGAACTTGAAAATATATAAACGTGAAAGGGCAATTATACCTCCTCCTCACCACCACTACCACTGGCATCAGACTCATCCCCTCCAGAATCATCAGTAGGAGACCCTCCATCATCCTTATCGATGACAAAATCTTCGTCCTGGAAAGGTTATGAATGTCAGACAGCATTTCAAGAATTTCCAACAACACAAAGGGCAAGTAAAGATGCTAGAATCCAACAAGATACTCTGACAATGACTTAGAGAGACATCCATGGAGTTGAAGATGATGAAATGACAAATAGGCATGTTTACCTCTTCATCACTGTCATCCCCGCCCGCTTCATTCTTAATACGCTCAAGATGTGGATCAACAGCATCATCGTCATCATCGGGCAAAACAGGAACACCTTCTGTAGCCCGAGCTTCATTAAGGTTCATTATTTTCAAACCCTTTCCACTGCATTACTCAATGATTGTGTCAGGAAGACTAAGCAGACTTGTTAAACCGAAATTGAGCGAGAAGAAGACTTGAAAGTAAAGCTAACCTGATGAAATCAAAAAGATTGTGGTACTCATTTCTCTGGATATTCCGGAAAAGATGTTCTTGTTCAGTTTTCAGTCTGATGAGAAGATCAAAGTAATGCATGTTGGCCGTGCCCGCAGCGTGCCTCTCAAATTCCACATAATCAATCTAATTGCATCATACAATAGGTCAGTTTTTCAAGAATGAAGATGTATCTCACAAGATTTTGAGCTTTACAAAAACTTGAATTTACCTCTTCATGCAGTATAAGTGTTGGAGGTTTAGGTAAAAAGAAGAAGCTTTTCTCAAGAGGATAGAGGAGTCCATCTTCAGCCTTCAATGAGGACTTCACCGCATACCCATCTTGACTACTACGGAACTTCCCTGGTTTAGTAACTTTGGAACCAGACAAGCCGCGTAAAATTTGAGTAAAGATATCATGAATAAGACCCTGGTTCACAAGTAAAATTATTATTAAATGCTAATAAGTAAAATTATTATTAAATGCTAAAAATTAACAGCACCAAACACGTGAATACAATGAACTTGCATTTCTTTTCTTTTTTTGACAAACAATGAACTTGCATTTCTATTTTCACAGTTGATGCAAATCCAAATGACTATAAACACAAAAAAAATATTACTTTGTAACCCATTAGCAGCCTCTCCTTGTATTTTGTATTTAGAAGGTCTTCGCTTAAAGCCAGCGAAAGGTCTACCACATTGTCCGTCTCAAACTGGTAAGACAAAGAAGCAGCAGGTTAATACCAGAACAGAATGTACGTCATTATTTAATATGTGCATCAATCAATACCTGCAATACAATGTGCGGATACAAAGTTTGGCCCTTCCTAATTGGAGGATCAAGAGTGATAACTACCAAAGTGTGTGGTTGGTTATGCTGCAAAGCAGAGAAGTCATTTCAATTATACAATGCTTAAAAGTTCAATGAAGACAATTTCAGAAAGCTCCATGAAGGAATTAAAAGGGGTAGGCATAACTAAAACATTGAACATAGAAATAACCTTCGGCAACAAAAAAATACGGACTACGCTGCTGTACTGAATTTTAAAGTCATTGGCTTGCCCTTGCAAGCGCAAGAATGAGAGATGAAGCTCCACATTATAACGACCCCTGCAGCATATGGACACATATCAATCACTCTGAAGCAAAAAACAGATAACAATGATACTGAACATGAAAAACAGTTAACCAACCTTGGAGTAAGTATGGCAATACCGTCAAATGTGACAACAGCTTCCTCACCTCCGGCACCAACATCAGCCATTGACATAATTTTATCACGAAAAACCTAATATGTACAAATCATATTACTCAGTTATTACCAAGAGAAGTTATCGTGTCAAAGAAGGGATTAATGATATCTCCACTAATGAATTCAAGAAATTGAATTGATACGCCTTTTGCTTACTTGAGCAGGAGGTCGGTTTTCATCACCAACAAATTGAGTGTTTGAATTAGGGATATGAAAGCTGATTTCCATCAGTGAGTCTTTCTGAAATCAATGAAAGTGGCTTACTGAGAATAGAGTGGCTTTCAAGAATTAGTCAAGAAGTGTCATTCATGTAAAAATGATTGTAATGCCAGCAAATCAGTAACACGTCAATGTCAAATGAAAAAAAAAACTCATCAGCAATCATTGAGGACAATAAGTAACCTCATTAGCCCCAGTTGTATCATCTACATGGAACTCCAACATGACATCATTTTTTCCTTGAAGCTGTGTTTGAGAAACGTCTGCCAGTGATATCTCAAATGCTTGTTTATTACCAACAAGAAAAGCGAGCATATTTGCTGCAGAAGGTGGAGCAGAGTCAAAACATGTATGTGTGCACATTCCAAATAAAATAGATGTTTCAAGAGAAGATCATGTTCACATGTGTATACCAAAAGAAGAAAAAGCAAGAGAATATCAAACAAAGAAAGAAGTATAAGGTGAGAACAAATAAATTGCATTATCGTGCCCACACTTAAAATTCACATATGAATTGCCAAACTAGAACCTGTTTAAAGTAGGGTAAATAACTCATGGAATAGATAAGTTGGTGATTACTAGTAGTCTAACAACAGAAGTAGAAAGATGGGATCCTGGGGGGGGGGGGTCTCTTCTCCTTTTTGCCTTTATTTTCAATATTTCCTCCTCCTAAACTGCAACTTACTTTCTTATGTCTATTATAACCCCTTTGAAGATTGTATAAAACCAATGATGTCATCAACAGTTCCCCATGTAGACAGAAGAAATACAAAGAAAAAAGCTACCAACGGTATTTAAATCTTGCCTCCATATATGATCCATTGCAAGACTATTAAACGCATTATGTGCAGTGTGAACTTTCATATTCAAACCACTTGCATTCAGCCACTTAAGTTGAAGACATTAAAAACCAATTATTTGTAAAAATTAAGGTTATTTCAATTAGAACTCATTTACAAAAATAAGAAAAAACACGTATGTCAAGCATAAGAAAATCAAGGGAGCCAGTGTACTAAAGCAGAAAGCACATATCCAACCATTTAGATCGACTTCTCCCCAATTTTTTCCACTAATTGATAGCTGCTTTTCCTCTGGAGATATCCCACAAGAACTCTGGAAATAGGTGGTCAAACTCGCAACATCCTGCGAATAGGTAAATACACAAGCAAGGGACATCAAAAACTGACAACACAAGATAATAATGCATGAATTTGTTCCTATCCAACAGGTTCTCCAGCTATTACATACATTGCACAGATTCAGAGGCATAAACTAGTACAAAGAAGTTAAGAGATTGTCAGTTTCTACCAGTAACATATGAAGAAAATAACTTTCCTTTGGCTTCAACAAACTCAGAACTTTGCCTTTTGGCTTCAATTAACCCAGAACTTAATCTTTGGCTCAATAAACATAGAACATTGCTCTCCCCTTGTTCCAGTTTTCCTCGCAGCCTGAAACTACAGTAGCCGAACTGTGACACTAACACTTCCAGTAGCCAGTTCCAAAGTAGCTGTGTTAGGGATCCAAAACACCCATAATACTTATTTTTATTATTTGGTTTTTTATCTAGTATCCAGTACATGCATTGGGGCCCATTTACACCCGGATTTGACCTGGGAAATTCACATTGAACTCCCTAACAAAAGCAATTCCGTAATCATTTGAGCCCGAGACCTTTGGTAAAAGATGATGGAGTACTTAACACTCCACCACACCCTTGTTGGTCACACCTAAATTCAATCAAGTCACCAGTCAACCTGTAAGATTCCTGGTTTTGCTTTAATTGAACTATTCTTTGGTTTCTAATTACCATGTACTAAGTAACCCAGTACCAAAATTTCCAAATTATTATGGCTAATTGTCTGTGTCTCTCTCCATTGATTAAGCTGTTTCAATTCCACTACAGCAGCAACGAAATAGTTCATGAAACTGATAAACTAAAACTTGCTAAAAGCAAAATAGAGACTCACCTGGTCACGAAAACCAGTAAATTTGTAGTAAAGACCATCCTTAATCCGCACACCCAGCTGATTACTTCGAGGAACTTTCATCCAAGTAAGGCCCACTATATCATCCTTGTCAACTTCCACGGCCTTACCACCACCTTGTTTCTTCCATAATATACCTCCAGACTGAACCTTGAGCTGCCCTGTATTCTGCATTCTCAGAAATTATTTTTATAAAAAATATCATCATTAACATATACCTTGAATACAAAATCTTTCTACCAAGGTAACATTCACTCTCCCTTGTGTGTATCTTACAAATTCTTCTGTTTTTTCCTTTTCTTTTATTCATATAGGCCCAAATCAGATGGAAATATCCCATAAAGACACTTAATTAGAGTTAAAAACTAATAAAAGCACTAAACAAACAGAGCACAATACATCACATTACAATAAAATCATCCATTCATAAGGTAGGGTTCAACCACGTCCAAGAAATTTGTCAATTCATACTGCTAGGGTTCAATCACGTTCAAGAAATTCATTAATTCATAGTTCTAGGTTCAATCACGTTCAAGAAATTCATCAATTCATAGTGCTAAGGTTCAATCACGTTCAAGAAATTCATCAATTCATACTGCTAGGGTTCAGTCACGTTCAAGAAACACATCAATTCATACTGCAAGGGTTCAGTCACGTTCAAGAAATTCATCAATTCATACTGCTAGGGTTCAGTCACGTTCAAGAAATTCATCAATTCATACTGCTAGTGTTCAATCACGTTCAAGAAATTCATCAATTAATAGGGCTAGGGTTTCAAGAGTCCACCTAAACAACAAAAACGACGAGATTATAACAAATTGGAAAATTTAGGGTTTGAAAAAGAACTGTTACAACGATTTTAGTATAAACAAGATTTAGGGTTTTAAGCTGCACGAAGAAAAACACATACAAAAGGTCATTTGAAAGTAGGAATCTCAAGTAACGAAGAGAACAAAAAGAAAACAAGAATCAAGAAGAGAGTAAGAACAACTTACGGTGCCTCCACGGCCGCCGAGAGAGATGTTGTTGAACTGATGACCGTCCGTCATTGCTTCGTATGTAAAAACACACTGCTGTAAGAGAGAAGGACTAGGGAAAATGGGTGTATACTTCACTTATATATATATAGAGATCCGCAAGCATCAACGTCCTCCCGCGCGAAACACATTACGCGGTTTAGGACTTTTCGACCCGACCCGGAACCGACTATTTGTAATGTGCACAATAATTTTTTTTAGATTTATCTGTTCCATTTATATTATTGCTGTAGTAGTAAATTTGTCATCCCAATTTTTTTGAGAACCTTCTTTTTCAAAATTAGTTCATTCATATGAATAATCTTTGCTTGTGGAAATTACTATGTCCAAATCGTAGTATTTAAAAATTTGAATGAATTATCAATTTACACTAAATGTAGTCTTGGTTTCACAAGTTCTATTTTTACTATTAACCATCTAAAAAAAAAAGAAATCATCCTAAATTAACCTACTCTCCATTGAATTCTAAGCCACTAGTAAATTTGCACAAAAAAATATCTTATTTAGCTACTGCTATTGTTCAGTAATCTGTTGAGTATATTTATATTTTCATAATAACGATGACTAAATGAAGCTCTCTATTTTATATCCACTTAACTACGTCTTATTAGTCATTTACCCGCGTTAGGCAAATATTGCGTAAAAAGACACTCATATCTCTCCCTCTTTTGTTAAGTAGAAAAGTTGTTTCAAAATCCGTGTCTAAAAGTAGTTGTCTTTTGCTTCCAACGATCATACTACGTACTCCCATATAACATCTTTGACTAAGATTTATAACATATGGTGTAAATATTTCGAAATGCCAAGGTTAGACATTTGTATTTGTATTCGTAGTAATAGAGTTCAGTAATTTCAAATTTTTGGTTTTTTTCCAAATGATGAATAATTTTGCTCACTGCCTTGCTCCAAAAGCTGGAAAAGAAAATCAACAGGAAGAAACAGGACCAAGAAAGAATTGTCAACTGCCAATACATTTTATATAGCACATATTCTTCCTGTTTTTCACTAATTTCTCCTGTCATCACAGAAAGAGTATACCAAGATTCTGCAAATTGTCACTAGCAATAATCATCATTACACGTTTTTGATAGAGCAATAAGTTAAACTTAGACATGTTCTGCTTCTCTGCCAAAAAATAAGCACTGATCCACTGACATCCAGCATAAAATTCTTCTTTCTTTTATTCAATTTAGAGATTTTTTGTGTTCCCAACACATTGTGCTAGGAGCTAATTCACAAACTTCTCGGAAAATAAATTATACATGGGAAGAAGTTGGATGATAAGTTAGTTGAATCTATTAAAGTCTTCAATGAACATCCAAAGGAAGTTAGACCAAAATGCTCATATATGATCCAAAAGGCTTGATCAAGATGTTCTGTGCTAGTTGAAAGTTGAAACTGCAGTACCATTTCTTAACAATTGAATTCTAATTTCAGAGCTTTCAGCCAGCATGCTACTCATAGATACAGGTGTTGTATCAACTCAGATCTTACAAAACAACGGTTCAGGAAATATCAAAATTGTTTTCGCTTGTTGGAAAAGAACTTGTCTCTCTTTGCCCAAACATACAGAAGGAAAATAAAAACTCCAGCAGACATAGAAACTGACGCCCAGGGAAATGGTGGGTCCTTGAAACAGACTAGTGATGCTTCCAGCTCTTGAGAAGCATGATAAACAAGAGAATGAATGGCATATATGTCATGATCTGATGCCCTCAGGTAATACAAAGCCATTTCAAAGTCAAAGTGTGAGAGTGCTGAAACTGCTTTGTCTAGCTTGTACTTGAACAAGTTCCACCTTTGCATGAACTCAGTAAGCTGATTATGCTTAAGAAGCTTCCTCTCCCCACCATGTGCAGAAATGGATTCAAAAACTTCAAGAGCACTAGAAATACTGAAGTTCAGCGATGTCAACAATACATTTCTCCTAGCAGCATCCTTCTGCACAAATGACAATGAAGAAACCTCTGAAAACGGGCCAAATGGTGTTTGCCCGACACTCCACGTATAGTCTACTAGAGTACTGTTGTGTCTTGGGCTCCAGACTAAATGTGTTGGTGAGACCCCCCACATGCTCTGTAAGATGGAACCTAAAATGGGCCTCTCTAATTCACGAGTCTGGGTAAACACATGACGCCCATTACAGCTATAATCACTCACAGTCTGTGTACTCTTTGTCCTGACTGCTATAACCATATCCTTAAAGGCCACAGACTGATGATAACGATCAAGCATCAGAATTGAACTGACATCCAAATCAAAAACATAAACTGGAAGTATCCTTCCACCAAAGTCCTCCTCAGGAACCTTAGCAATCCGCCTAAACTCAGCAGCCGACTCAGACAATGTCTGGTGTAAACGCTTAGAGTCCAGGTATTCACTGACAATCAGTGTATAGTTATCAAACAGGTACCTAGAAGTATATGAGGTAGCTGCCCTTGAAATGGCAAACGAACAGATAGGGCACTCTGCTAAATTCACGTCATACTTCTTAAATCTCAAAGATTGATCTCCAAACAACAATCCATTCTCATTTACTTCATCCATAAAATTCCTCTCTATCAGCTTCCAGTCTAACCCAACGCTATCCTTATTATCCGAAGAACCATATATGTGTATAAACTCAACAATCAAAGAATTCTCAAACGGGATAGGGATACGCAAAGAGGGCACGAGAAGAACCTGATAAGCACTCCAAACCAGTGAGGCCAAATCGGAAAGCAGAGCCTTTTGGGACTTGGGTCGGCCGTGCAATGTAGCAAATGGATGAAACTCGCCACGAGGAAGTACACCATCGCCGGACAACGCCGGGCCATAATCAACCGGACCGGCCCCCAAATCAATCCACAAATATCTCTCTTTTCCGGTCCACACAGTGCCCAAACACTTGGTGAAAGCAGGGGATGGATCGCCAGGCGTATAGCTATAAGCGTAGGGTTTCGACTGGGAGCCCAAATTGAGAATATATATGTAAATCCCACTAATGGGTTTCTCTTTTTCAAAATCTTGTTTGACAATTTCATCAACTATGGAGTGAGGGACAGAGGCAAGCACGGATCTGAAAGAGGAAGGTACAGTGGCGAGATGGGTCTTGAGGGTTTCAGAAAGACGTGAAGAGAGAGAAGAAGGAGAAAGAGTCACATCAAGATGAAGTGAATGGGATATAGAGAGGTGATGAGATGGTTGAAAAGAGAAAGGGGTGATGACGTGGAACTGATCGGAAGAAATTGCCGATGTGAGAAATGAAGAAAGCTGAGATTTGGCAGAAGAAGAGAAGTTGCTACCAACAAGCTTGACGGTGATGGGGACGGAAACTTGTAGGTTGAGGAGAGAAGAAGGGATGGGTGGGTGATGTATGGAGGGTTGAGAGAGATGCTTCTTGAGAGAAGAAGGAAGAGAGAGGAATGAATCGTTTGTAGCTGTCGGGTCAACCCGAGATTGTTGGTTGAGGAAGGAGTCTAGTCCCAGGATTGGGGCGGCGGTGGTGGCGGTGACGAAGAGTTGAAGGAGGAGGAGGAGGAGAACGCCGGTGACGCCGGTGATCGGAGGCATTTCGGAGTTTGGGAATCCGGGGGGATAGGGTTTGGGGGTTTGGGCAAAATATGATGTTGGTTCAGTTGACGGAATTGGAAGTGGAGGACTGAGGGTACCAGCTGCGGAAGCTAGTCAATTACTTGATTATTATTTTTAATTTATTTTGGAACGGAAAAAAAATAATCCCTTTATAAAATAGTCAAAAATAACTATAGGTACAAAAGGAAAATGTTTGTAGAAAAATACGTGGTTATTTTTTTTCAAAAAAAATGTGTCCCAACTTTTATAGACAAGTAAATTATTATATTGAAATTTTTTATATTATCTATAGGAAAGGTGTGTTGTTGGGTAAAAGTAGAAGCGTGCAAAAATTGAATTGATCAAATTAATAAAATGTTATTGGTTTATTATTATTGTGTTAGCAAATTTTTAATGGTTTTGTTAATAAAAATTATCTAGTATCGATTCGATATTAATTTTTAATATTGGGTTATTGATATATCGATAATCCATTAGGATGATAGTAATTTATTAGTTACTGCTTTGTCCATGCATAAATATTAAATATTAATTTCAGTACATTACTTGTTTGCTCACTAACGTTTAAATTCACACTTTACATTAACTTTGAGTTCACATATTCACGTTATACAAAACATCAAAACCTAAAGTATGAACCATATTCTCTTAATCTATCTTCGTTTTGCACATATATAGTTTTTTCATGTCGGTTATTATTGTTTTGATTTTATGAGTGTTTTGTAAATTTGTATTATTGTCTTGTCATATCAAATTACTAGAGAGGTCATGTATTCATTTAAGATAAAAGTTACGTGGATAAGCAAACATATGTTAATTAATTAACTAACATAGCTATAGTTTTAATCAATTACAGCTAGCATTTTGTAATTATACCGTCTTTCTCCTCTTTTTTACATATACAAATACTAATTATACATACATATACACAATTATATGAGAGATATACTAGCTTCTATCCACACTCTGCTCCTCTCTAGTTCACCTCTCTCTTCCCTCTCGCAATCTCTCTTGCTTCTCTCCTCCATTTCTCAATCTTGCTCGTCTTTCTCCTTCATTTTTTAAGTTTCGCTCGTCATATATAAAAATACACATGTGTATACCGATTACATATATACAATTATCTACAATACGTCTCTCTCCACTATTTACCCTCTCTCGCTCGCCTCTCTCCCTCCCATCCTGATCACGCTCGCCTTTCTTATCCTTCTCTCAATCTCGCTCACTAGATATACAAATACATATGTATAATAGTTAGATATATACAATTATTTGACAAATATACTTGTACACTTTGTTAGATCTACATATACAATTCGTCTCTCTCATTATTTATTCCCCTGTCACTCACCTTTTTCCTTCATCTCCCAATCTCGCGCGCGTCTCTCGTCTAACTAGTGTACTATTCTTTCAAAGAATCACTCAATTCTACTAACAAGATAAATATGAAATTATGATAAAATTTCAGTTAACAAATCAATTGAATTATTAATAGAAATAGAAAAACTCACATTAATATGCTATACTATGTTAAAATATTTGCTAGTTTTGCATTACTTGTTAAAAAAAAACATATTGTAGCATTACTTGTTTTCAAAGAAAAAAAGTTACGTATTATTTTAAAGGAATGCATATTTTTTCTAAAAGCTTTTCAGTATTTTTATTTTTCTTATCTAATGTTTAGAATTTCATTTTATATTCTATAATATGGTCCTTTGTTGTTGTAGTTGTGTAAAGTTGCCAACATATTTTATTATTTTCTTCCCATAATACTTTGTAATATGCTAAATATTGAAGTTTGTGCTTTTACGGGTCTAGTAAATATTATTACTATTTATTTTGTCTCAATTAAATGATATGATGAAATTTTGAGAGAGAATTAATCTTTTTATAATTATAAATAATTTAAATTATTAATTATTGTGAGGTATATATATATATATTTTTTTGATGATACTCTGTGAGATAAAAAGGCCTGGCATAGATCATAGCTGAGGGGTTTTATTTAGGTTAAAATTCAAAGAAAAGTTAACATGTATATGTCTTCCTTGTAGAGTTTAGTAGGGGAAGAGGGAAATTTTCGAGAATCGAAAGATGGATGAGACTTCATCGCCACCGGCAACTGGAAATAGCTCCACCAGCCTAACAGACGTCGACATGGACGCGTTAGTTCACTGTGCAAGTTACCTGAATCTTCAAGACGTATCGAACATGGCCATGTCCAGTAAATATCTTCAAAAAGCCGCGTATTCAGACCCAGTCTGGGAATCCCTTTTCAGGTTGTAATTACTTTTTTCCAACTCTTTCTTTACACCCCGGCTAATTATTGGATAACGATTGGATAAAGATACAATCCTGCTTCCTAATGAGAATGACCCTATGAGCACACTATTGTTCATCGAATTGGAAAAATGGATTACCTCTTTGTACAGATTTGAGGTTCTGAATAAATGTGCATAAACCGGTATGTTTTTTTTGTTTTTGTTTTTTATAACAAGGAAACCTGCAGCGCTACCCTTTGGCCCTCACAGGTAAAACCCGCTCCTATGCAATAGCTCACGGACCTAGGTTTTTGAACTTGAGTCCTCCGACATGGAAATTATTTATAATTATAAAAAGCAAGGGGTTTGCCTTTTGGTTCGAGCTCGTCTCCGGGGGGAGGGGGTTACACCTCTTGTGTGATTTGTGAGGTATTGCGTAGGAGTAGGGTTTTACCGTGTGTGCACCCAAAGGGTAGCAGTTGCGGGTTCGCTTAAAAGGAAAAATAAATTATAGAACACATTAGCTCAAATAAAGGATGATTATGGAAAATCGATCTATCTATCAATGAAGCCTCAATATGAAACTAGTGGAGGTTAATAAATCATATATATTAAGAGGACATGTAATTTGACTATCTTGAAACTACCCTGCAACCCTCTCATTTATCCGGTGTAGTTATGCTTAGCAAACTCACATCGCCAGTTATAGTTAAGGAAAACCATTGTCTATCTGTATAGAGGCAGAACAGGGAATGCATACTTTTTTCTGGAATTGCAGCTGCTTGTGCTCCTGGAAAATCACCTCCTAAACTTTCTGATTTGCAACATTTTGCTGAACAGAGGGGACTTTATCTGTGTAAATGCGGAGTACATGAAAAAAGTCACTTCCTTTTGCTTGATAACTTTGCACAATCATTCTCTTTTCCTTTTTGTGTTTGATTGATATCTGCATTCTTCTTTCTCTTAGATCAGTATGATTAGTGTTATCCTGCAAACATGAATGTGCTTTATGAAGCTGTCACTTTCTTGTTATGGGGAGGGAAGTAGGCAAAAAATTGGTTATTGAACGTCTTCCAACTGTGAAGCTTTGGCATTATCGATGAGAGAAAATACATGGACATTAAGTGGCCTTGGCAACACTACAGCGTGACTATAATTTTTTTTCCTGTTCTTTTTTAACTTTTTTTGTGCAAGATGGAAATGTGTGGAGATCGTTTCTTAGAATTTTTTGAAGGCAAGTGATTTTGCCTGAACTTCTAAGAGCTTGAGCTTGTAAATGAATAAATTCCAAAATCAAAACTGAAGTAGTGCATATTCCAGTACACAATCAAAAATTAAAGGCAACTTGTAACTGCTTAGGATATCCTTAAGTCATATATCTTCTAAGATATTGGCAAAATTTATCTTCTGAGGAGTGAGGACGAATAAAAAAGGATATCTTCTTAGATTTTGGGATCCTTGGTTTCTGAATAATTAACATAAAATTGGAGTTTTTGTTGCATTGGAAGCTAAAGAATGTTCAGAAGTAACTTTTTCCTTTTAAGCTAATTATGAGAAGTAATCTCAAAGATGCTACAAAAGTATTTATGATTGGAAACTGTGACTGGCTGGTCTGTTATCAACATATTCTCTGCTTTGTTTTCAGTATTTAATTGCTTGTGGGTTTCTTGGAGAGTAGTACTAATCTCATGTTCTGCAGACAGCAGTGGTCTCCACTAGTACCTTCTGGCTTATCACACACATCAACTGAGAGGGAATTATACCTTTCCAGGCGTACTGATGTGCTGCAATTCAAGTTCATTGACCCTGAAGTTGTAAACTTTCCTATCAGGGCAAAGCCTCATGAAAATCTGTGTCTTGACAAAGACAATATCATATTTTCTGAGGTAGTATATCTACCATTTATTCGAATTCCTGTCATACAACTCAAAGTGCTTGTTTTAATTGATTCTTCAGTCCTTGTTAAATACTACAGCAATTTATGAGAAGTATGAGTATAAGAATGAAGGATGTGTTTTAGTATTATTTTGTACCCTAAGGAATGTTGGTGTCTAGCCGCTCAAGCTTTATTATCTTTTCCTTTTTGTAGGAGATTTGATGTTATTACATGTTTCTATGACCTCACACAGGTTATCAGTTGTGTAAAGTATTTATTTAGCACAAAGGGGGGACTTAACATTGTGTATAACTTTCTTTTCTTTCTTGCCCCTTGAAAGTCGATGTTGGGCAACCAGTTTTAAAATGAGATATAGCAGGACTTTCGAGAAGCTGTGATTGTGAACTTGACATTTCCAATTTTCCCTCTCTTCTGGCTCATTGGTTCCATCATGATTTGTACTAACTTTACTTTAGATCTTCTAGGTTTATATCTTTATTGTCCGATTTATTGCTTCCATGAGTATGAGAAGAGAAGATACCAGCTGCCCATAATGAATCTTCCTCAGTATGTTTTGCATCTAGATATGTGAAGTGATTTTTAATTTGACAGGCTACTTAGAAGGTAACTGCCCCTTGATTTAGTTTGTGCTGCACTCCCCCTGACTTTTGTTTCCTTGAATGGAAAGAAATTCATTGCCACTTCCGACTTTTGCAACATGCTAAAAGACTGATACTTGAGCAGCATTACTTCTCTGGACTGTGATTCAATTGCTACTTCCGATTTTCTGCAGCATCCCTTAAGATCTGATATCTCTTTCTTGATCAGTGGTGCACATTGTGAAATCTGGTAATGAGCCTACTCCTCTACCCTCTCTACTTAAATATTATACTTTCTCTATGGAAGTGCATATAATCCTCGTATCATACTCTTGCCACTAGAACCCTACCATAGGAATTTCATTTTCTTTTGAATCAATGATATCAAAGCCCCTTAACGCCTTTAGGATACAGAAAAGTTGTGTTCCTCTTTCCATTACATGCTTGTGCCTTTTCTTCTTTTTATCTTTTGTGACGTACCATACCTTTTTTCTTCTTTGATTACCGGTAAATTTCTGAGGGACACTATCGCTCATTTCGTAACTCGTAGATAATCCCTCCCAAACCCTTCTCCATGTTTATCCTAGTTGATTGTAGTCGTTTACTGGTCTCGCCTCATTTTTTACCCTGTTATTATTCTTGCCTTACAAAGTTTAGGTATCCGAGGAATTTTCTGTGGTCAAGATATGCCTTTTTCTATTTTCAACTTTCGTGCAACATTCCATGTAGAAGCTGCTAACATCACCATCATCTGGACTGTCCACTTAATTAGGTTTCATCTTTTTGTTGTTTTCCTTTCATCCCTCCACTGTAGGTGTCTCTGCTTCACCGATTACCTTCTAGTACTTTTTATTTTGTATAATATTGGATTGAGATGAGCTTAAATGGAGTGACATAGTCAGTGAGGGTTCGTATAGCTAACCCCAACTTGTTTGTGATTGGGGCACATAGTTGTTTTAAAGAATGCTATTTCCAGAATTCCATCTGCATTATCTTATTGCGGTGGGGAGTATTCTTGCTTCCGATAATCAGAAAATACCACATGATCCGGAAAGCTGTTGTAATAACTTGAAAATTTGACGCTGTAGAAGTAATAAATTTTTCATTGTACTCAGTCATACTGATGAATATTGGTATTAGCTTGCCAGCTTGCTTATCTGGATCTACCAGACAACAAGCTATGGATTTGCTTTTACAATTATCTCTTACTCGACTACAGTATCTTATATATTTTCCGACAATGGCAGTGTGGACTTTTGTAATCTGTTCCTTCTGCAGTTAAGGTGATAAAATATTAAACCATGCAATTTATATGACATGATTTTGGTTGATAACTTGTTTGCAGGGATCTTCACTTTGTGTAATGAACATTGACGATTTTCGGCATGGAGAAGATTCATATGACACACTCAGGGGTCACACTGCCAAAATTACTTCTCTGAGGTTATAGTTGCTATATATTTTCTTTTTATTTAGGAGTAAGCACATGTGGTAAACCAGATGGATATGTCAACAGAAGTTCTAGATTATCCAATTCAGGATCATTTACTTCACTTATAAATACATTACATCTTAGTTTGTCAATTCTTTTTAATGTGTATCAATAGCCATAATACTACTAACTGCAGATCAATTCCATTTGAAGAGACATGCTTGTATAGTAGCAAGGGGCAGAAAAGTGATAATCTTTTTGTAACCTCAAGCTTGGACCATTCAATTCGGCTATGGTGGAAGGTAGTTTAAATAAATAAAGATGAGTTGTAGTTCACTAAACTTTTATCTGAATACTTGTGTTAATGAGCTTATGGAACTCCTGATCCAATTTTACCCTGTCTGTCATATTCTAATCTGCATATTCTTTAGTTGAATTTCTTTTTAACTTTTTGTTTCTAATTTTAAGTTTTGTTTTCACTATATCATGGATTTGTCGTACTTATTGTGTTACCATTTTGTTCTTTGCTGAATATCATTTTCCAATTGCAAAAGCAAGAAACAAAATAATCTTTTGATGCATCATAGCTGGCCTATAGTCTACAAGGATTGTGCAGAAGTATGTTTAATTTATGATGCAGGTTCCATCAGTGGAACTATTGATGTTTTGTAGCTTGCCACCTAGGGAGTATGGCTTTTTTTTAGTTAGATGAATGTCAGGTTCAATGCATATGATATGAGCATGCATCAGTTTCTGGTTATGTTCGTTTTAGATTCCATGTATGGGTATCCAATCTCTTAAATAACTATGTTGTCCATCACTTTCTTAGTATTGCCTGTGGGTTTCATTCCTAGGGGAGTTGTCAAAGAAGCTTCAGAATCTGTAATGTTTCAGTTTCCGCAATTTCAGACAAATTGTTGGGTGATCATCCGAGTAAAATACTTGCAAGCGGTGGTTCAGATGGAATTGTTCGATTATGGTCCCTTGATTGTAGTGGAAAGCGCAGCCAAGATGATTTAAAGGCTGTTCTATACGGGCATGATAAACCTGCAGTGCTGATGTCAGTTGCTGGGTATGATTTAATTATTTTTGCATATATGTTGCAATTATCAATATTATTATCCTGTTGTGCTGCAAAACCTTCTTGCTTGGGAGTTTGGCATCTAGCTTTGCTTATCTAGCTGCCAGTTTTAGGTGAACAATGAAGATTTGTTTCTTTTCTCCATGCATCATTGCAACCGAAGCAGTCTTTGGTTTTAGTCAAACTATCCTTTATCTCTAGAGTACAGATTTCAAGAAACTAGTATCTCCAAGGTAATATAGCAATCTAGAAGGAGCTTACATTAGCTTCAGGTTTATTTGTTGTCAATCGAAGTTAAAAAGCTCCCTTGCTAAATTTTAGATTTAGAATATTGAGGAGGTATAGGAGTTGAGGTTTGCTAAATTCTAATCATCAATTTTAGTCAATCTTCTCAACTGTCTTATTGTTGGAATCTCTCTGGTTTCAGGCACAAGACATCTCTTCTAGTGAGCATATCAAGGAACTCCAAGGTATAGTAATTTGTGTTGGCACATTTAAGTTTGACTTATGAGCAAGCGACACCCAAAGTGGCAAATTTGAGTGGTTCTAAGATTTTCCATGACATTTTGTTTGATTCTGTTGATGTATATTTGCAAATCTTGTTTTGAGTTATTATATCTTTTTTATTTGCATTGATTCTGCTGTTATTTAGTATAAAAACTTTTGATTCGAGTATTAGCAGAATCTGTTCTTAATTTGAACTCATATTTGAAACCAAGTGAAAATCCATAAAGAAGTTCCTTCTCTTGTTTATTAGTCCTCTTGGTGTTTGTAGTTAAAATCTTGTAATGCTGTTTTTGTTAGGAAGGAAAAGGGGGTGACAAAAGGAACTTGAAAGCAAGCTCCTACTGCTTCACTTTTTCTCTCTAGAAAAGTAGAAACATGAGGAGGTTGAGCTAGGTCATGTGGCGTCTCTTCAGGGGATCGTTTATTCTGTTATCTTACATAGTTTCCTAACCATCCAAGATTGCCTCTGAACTCGACTTTCCCCACAAGCATGAAATATGTAACACCTTGCTAGTGCGATACTTGTGTGTTTATCACAATTTTCCCCTTCTAAAACCAAGTGAGTTGAATTCCGTAATCATTGAGCAGCATTATCTGTTCTTATGATGCATCTTTGCTTTTCGTGAAGCGTGATAATTAACCATGTGATTGTAAGTTCTGCTCCTTAAACCACATACTTTAAAGTAAATATGTACAGAAAACTCCAGGCCTTCCTAGTAAGAATTAGTATCCTCCAAAGCTATTATCTCTGTGATCTCATTTACATAATCTAGTTTACACGATTTCTTTTGGCTTAGAATCAATGGTCCTTTACTTTAATTTCTCAATGCAGGTGATAGTTTGGGACACTGCTACTTCATCTGCCAATCGTTCTTCATGCTGTGTGGGAAAGAGCACTGTGCCTGGTGCACCTAAAGCAATGAAGTGTCATGAATCACTGATCTATATTGCAGCTGGTACCTCTGTTGTTGCAATTGATATAAGAACAATGCGTCAAGTTTTCAAAGTGAACCATCAAGAAGAAGTACATTCATTTCAAATGTTGCCAGAGAAATCATTGATGTGCACAGGGTTAGCTCAAAGGTATTCTCTTTCGAACTCATATGGTTGACTTTGTTTGATAAGTAGTTGCGTCGTTATGCATCAAGTGGCTTCTGTACTATCGTGGTTGTTTGTGTGCTAATGCAAATGGTGTTGTCAGAGCAATGCTTTGGGATGTGAGAAGAGGGTGTGACATACACAAGGGAGAAGCAGTAGCTGAATTAGATGGACATAGAGGCAATGTAAGCCTCTTGCACATGGATCCCTACAAGATTGTTAGTGGTGGGCTGAAGGATTTCCAGGTACATGTTTGGGAGACGGGGAACGGTAGACAATTAACTTCATTGAATTGCTGCTCTCTATCTGATTCTCGTCAAGGCTATCGGTGTTCTGCAATGGCTGTCAATGGAAGTCGTATACTAACAGCTTGTAATGACGGACACTTCAGTGACTTGTGTTTCCGGGACTTTAACAACGCCACGATTCCTTCTCTCTCTTCCGATTCAAGCATTCTCCAATCAAAGTTCTGGGCTCCTAAATCACAAAGTGATACTGAAGAATAATCAGATCATGATTCAACCTAGCTGCTCCCTGACTCTAAAATCGGTTACTTTTTTGTTTCTTCCTTAATTTTTGAATTTCATTGAGTTAGACTTACGTCTCATGTCTTCGTGATAACAAGTAAATTATGTTTGCGCCCCTTTAAATGTTTGATTTTACGAACGTCAAATTATTTCGGATCAGATTTTTCTTTTCAATGTTTTTGAGCTAATTTATGAGTTTTTATGAAAGGAGCCTAACAATAATATGAAATTTTAAAACTACATTTCGTCCTTATCTGCATTGCTGGTGAAATCCTGTCCAAAAATTTAGAAATAAATTATTTTTTCTAAAAGGAGAATTTTTATTCAAAAAATGGATCATAATAATAAAAATTTAAAAAGACATAATTGTTATAAATCAATTGAACGAGTGGATAGTTACATGAGCAACTATTCATATTCACTAGGTTTAATGAACCTCTTTGAATAAGAATATATGTATTTATTATGATACTTAATATGGTGACTTTAGGAGTTATTTCTTAACCTATAAATAGGATTGTTCATTCACTATTGAAAGATATACATATGAAACTTATATACATTTGAATAAAATGAAAATTCCTCTTCTATTTACTTCTTTAGTCTTTATCTCTTTATGATTATATTCTTATGATCTTGATTTTATAACAATAAAGAAAATTTATCAATTCATAATTTTAATTGTACTACGTAAATTAATGAAACTTCTCTACATTTTTTCTAATTCTTGTTATTTGTTTGATTTTCATAAATATTTTATATATTTTGGTTTCTAATTACATAAATTAGAATTTTATATATGTTTATCCCGTTTATCTATACAAAATATATGAAAAAATTCATGATAGATTATTAATCTATTAGTAAATGAAATATACAGAAGTTTTTGAAAAATTCTTAAATATATAAATACTATACTTATTCTATTTGCATATTTACAACTAAAATATATAAATAGATAGAAATATATAAATCGAAGCCTTTATATACGTACGTTATTACAACAAAAATGACTATTGATGACATTTAATTGTTAATTATCGTTAACTATGTATTTTTAGCGGCAATTATCATTCTTTATATATGTCCCTAAAGTCTTTAGCGAAATGAATTTTTTATATATATCCCTAAAATCTTTAGCAAAATTAATTCTAATAACATTTAACTAATCTCAATAAAAATTTTAACACTTTTTATTAATATCAATATTTAACATCACTAAAAGTTATTTCGTCAAATGTTTTTCTGCATATACATACACATAGAAAAAACTGACGTGACACGTCAAAGAGATTTATCAAAATGGACAGGAAATAGGGATGGAATGGACGACACGTTGCAGCAGTTAAGATTTGATGATGACGACATATATCATAGCAGAAAAACAACACTTTTTAATGTTAGCAGTATACATTGTATTTTGCAATATGTCTACACAGTTCTCAATAAAAAAAAAATTCCTATTTCTAAGCCTAGACAGGATAGGCATGGCCAATTTCTCCTTTTCCATTCATAGTCCACCTAAAAATGAAAAACACATATATAGTATTTGCGATAGAGTTAAAATTTTTAATAAAAATTAAATAAATAAATAAAGTAATTAAAAAAAATTTAATATCTATTATATAATATTTAAATAATTTTCGCTGAAAGAGATTCAAAACCCTCTAATTGCAAGCGGCTCTACCACCGTTAATAATCCCTTTAAATATATATATATATATAAAATCAAATTAAACAAGACTCGTATAAAATAAACTAAAGATATAGTAATAATTTTTGAATGGTTTTTAAGACGCAAGCTGTGTCATTACTCCATAGGCATATCTGCTGTGAGGTTCACCAAGTGTTCGTGTAATGAAATAATAAATACGATTTTTTTATATTGCATGGTAGCCACGTTGAGGTGAAAAATTAAAACCAAACAAAATTCCACTTCAAATTACCTTACTTCTTCACGCACCTTATTAGTTATAATACTCATAAGAGAATATGTTCTTTCAATTATTGTACGTAATATTCCTTTCGTCTGTCTTTTTTATAGTACAAAAACTCGAAAAATGTTTCACACGTTTATTGATTTAATTTTAATTATAATTGATGGTAGAAAATCATAAGAATTATTTAAAGCTATGCATAGTTTAATATAATAATGATTTTACGTTAGATATGGTATCAGAGACTGAGGAACAACAGGAGAAGCTGTGGCATAGCATTCAATGTATATAGACAAAATGAAAAAGAAAATTTGTGACAGTTAAAAAAAAAAGTAGGTAGAATGACTAGGTTCATATCCTCAATGTCCAGATCACTAGTACTATTTTAATAATTCTTCTTCAAAAGAAGATCGATGCTACCTTCGTACGTAATTAAACATTTTATATGAATTGTATACGCTACGAAGTGTACTTTTTTTTTTTTGCATAATTGCAAGCCGTCACAAATTCAAAATTGCATATTATTTCAAACATGATTCTTTGTAATTGTATAGGGTAGGGTATACCTATATTAAATTAATTAATATGCATCGTATCAAAAAGAGATCAAGATTTATATTTTTATCTCGTTCGTCATTATTTGACTTGTTTATTTCTATCAAAGTGGAAAAATCACTTTGATATTTATCTGATTAATTTAATTGATATCATGTACTGTCCATAAAAATTAAGCATCTTTTTAATAAAGAAGATTCTCAAAATTGTTGATTAAAAATACAAAAGAAACACGTTGTTTAGCGGTAAAAAGGAAAAGAAATGGGTAAAAGATTAAATTAAGAAAAAGATTAGGGGGTGGAAGACAATTTCAAAAGTAAGTAAAGCGGGTTTGGGAAAGAATAAATAAAAAAAAAGTCTAATGGCAGAGCCCATAGGAAATCCAGGGAATAGCCCCTGGTTTTAGTTTTTTCCGCTGTGTTTCTTCATTTATACTCGGTAAGTAATAACATACAATTTAACTAACCCCCTCAACTCCATCATCCTCATCAAACATTTGCCCTTAAAATATGCACATAGTCTAGATATTTAAGCACCAGATCGTAGTTTTTTCCAGTTGAAAGAGAAAAAAAGGTGATTTCAATTTGCAGTTGTTAATCCTAAGGATGAGGATTGAGAAAAATGTGAGTGAACCAAGAGGACGGGAGTATAGCGATTCGAAGAAGAATCGGAGAAGGCAGAGGATGATTTCCCCGGTTCAAAGACTTTATGAAACTTGCAAAGAAACTTTTGCTAATTGTGGTCCTGGTGTTGTACCATCTGCAGAAAAGATTGAACGTCTCAAGGAAGTTTTGGGTATACATTTCTTTTCGAGTAATTTAGGTTTAATGTTGAATTGCTGTGGCGTCATAATCTCCCTTTTTTATTTTATTCTAAAGTGCATATGTGGACCAAAGTACCATATTTGATTGACAAGGTACATGATCCGGCATTGTTATTATAACCATTTTTGGAATCGGTTTAACCCAATTTTTGTCTTCTTTGAATTACAAAAGGGGTGGGGATTACGAGCCGGGAATCGAACTCGTTTAGATAGTCAACCAATTGAGTTACTTAATTAATTCCCAACAGAGGGGAATGCGTAATGTGTGCCAAAAATTGAACTGTCACATGTGATTTTGATTCATTAGTTTTGTAGCGGACATATAGGACCTCCGAGTTGAATGTCTTTCTGCATTTGGGGTATACGTTCAATCATCAATGTTATGGTGATTACGGTGTTAGACAATTTTGATTGATGATATCCAATTTTAGCACGACAGATTCTGGTTACCTTGCTTTGCTATTTGAGGGTTTTATGAACACTGTTTGGATAAATAACAACTGTTTTTTTTTCCTAAATTTGGTGTGTACTACTATTTTCTAAATGTTTTATTGGAAAATAACTGCTAAGAATTTTTTTTTCTTCAATAGTTTATCTTGCTTGTGATTGTTCAAGGTTTTTTGAGGAGGGATGACGTGATTATTTATGAGTTTCTAGTTTGTTTTGATGTGAACGCAAATGTCCATTTTGTTTTGATTTAGACACAATGTAATTACTTACCAACTCATATGATCGGCAGATACCATGGCTGGAGCAGACGTTGGCTTGAGACCGAACATGCCATACTTTAAGTCAACAAGATATGACAGACCTCCTACAATAACGTACCTGCACCTCCATGAGTGTGATAAATTCTCGGTAAGTGGCTAAAGTGCATTGTTTCACTATAATGAATCAGTCGCTGTATGTTCTTCTCTTCAATGTCTCGTTTTTGAGCTTATAAAGATCTTTTGCCTACTTGGCAGATTGGTATCTTCTGCTTGCCCCCATCAGCTGTCATTCCACTTCATGATCATCCTGGAATGACTGTTTTTAGTAAGCTTCTTTTTGGAGAAATGCACATTAAGTCATATGACTGGGTGGACAACCTCCCTGCTGATCCAACTCCAGTTGCTAAACCTTTAGATAGTAAGTCTTTTTAGCTGGAGATTGTTTTGTTGAAGGTATCTATAGTTCTTTTTAAATCATGTGGTCTTAAACTTGTCTCGGAAGATATTGTATTTGAAAATCTCCCTGATGAACCAAATCCAATTGCTTTCTAATGTATTTTGAAAAAATAGGATCAAAGGGGCCTGGCTAACTTATTGGTGATTATTTCCTTATCAGATGGACTTGGGGAATCTACTACTGGAATTCGTCTAGCAAAAGTGAAGATAAATTCAGCGTTTAGAGCTCCTTGCAAGACCTCTATCTTATATCCAGCTGATGGTGGTAATATGCATTGTTTCAAAGCAAAAACAGCCTGCGCCGTGCTAGATGTGCTTGGCCCTCCCTATTGTGATCCTGAAGGTCGCCACTGTCAATACTACTGTGACTTCCCGTTTTCAAGTATCTCTGGTATACTTCTTGTACTTTTTCATCCTTACATTTAACTGAGTGCTAGTGTAAATTGGCAAAGTCCTTGGTGAAGAAGGACGAATCTAACAAAGGATAAAATAAAGATGATTCAATATGGTTGATGCCTTTAAGTAATAACATTGAGATTTGATTTTCCAAATTGTTGCCTGGTGGGCGGACAGTTCCCAGAACAGTTAAGAGAGTGTTTATAAAAATGGCAACTTGACTTTTAATCTATTTCTGGTATCACATGATCAGACAACAAGAATCTTTGTTACCTTTTTTATTGACAGGGTGTTTTGATTAATATGGTAAATTTTATTTTGATTGTGTACTTGAAAGGGCCTTATAATATGGACTAGCAAGTTTATTCCAACTCTTTTTTGTCGATTTCAGTGACCGAGGAACAGAAGGGTGGCTATGCATGGCTGAAAGAGAGGGAGAAACCTGATGACTTAACACTGGTTGGAGCATTGTACAAGGGACCAAAAATGGTTAAGTGAATTGAATTATCCCCATTTCTGTGGATGATAACGAAAGTTGGCAGTGAAGCAGAACCAAAAAAGAAAAAAACTTTTTTTTACTTTTCTTATCTTTCTTTCCCTTGTTTTCCTCCCTAATTTTTCCTCGTTTTCCCTTCTTGCGGTTTGGTAGTGTACATATTCAGACCGGAGGAAACAAACGAAGGTCATGGCGAAAATTTGATGCAGTAGTGTTATTTTTTAACAACAGTTACATATTTCTGACATAGCGTTATGTTGTAGGATTTGTTTAAGTACACCTCCTTTTATGGTACAATTTGCTATTTGACAGTAGCTCAGGTTGTACTTTAGGAACATTTGCCCTGGAATCCGAATATGACGATAAGAAGTGGGTTTGTTCAAGTGGATTGAGGGGTGTTCCGATCGACATTGTAAAGAAATGGATTATAGATTGAATTCAATCCCAAAAATTGGCTAATAGGGTAAGAATTATCAAGCTCATGTAAGGATATCTATGATGTCAATTGTTCATGTGAGACTTCTTTTAACACTCTCATGCATGTTCAAACTGGAGTGAATAATATAATATGGGAGCTAGCATTGGCGATCGAAGAAATATAAGATTAGAGTTTTTGTGCCTCACCAATGAATTTAGATACATCTGTTTTTGATATCCTACTTTATTAAGTTTCTGTGCCTCCAAATTAAACTTGTGCATATTGTTAATTAGGTTCCAATTTTATTTTAGGCTCAAGTATTTCTATCCTACCAAATTTGAACACCTCAATTTAATTGTGTACTATTTTGTGTCTATTGAGATAGGCACTTTTTAACTAAACAAGATTAGATAACTGGCATTTGAACATGGTAAACATCAGTAATATCAAATTTTCAGCCTAAAAAAGGTGTGTAATATGAGGAAGGTACACAATACTTTCTGAAATGCAAGTGAACCTACAAAGCCATACATACTTTCAAATAATGAACAACAGATACTTCCAACTGGCCTAATAGGAAGTTTGCTGAGATAATCCATCAACAGTGAAAAAAGTAGATGAGTTGTGAGTAAAAAGGGTAACAACCACGCAAATGAAAAATAAGTTTTACAACGATATAACACAATTTCAAGATTACAACTGTTGACTTGAGAAAACAAAGAATGAACTACTTGAGATTATCAGAGAACAACCATGAGGTGAAGAAACTTTAAGATAGTCATCAGTCAGCATCATATTAAACTAGTAATGTAGATACTACGACAGAAGCAAAACGTTAACAACACATGCAAATGCAAATTTAAAGTAGGATTTGCAACGCATGACTAAGGCCGCGCGGGCACGTAAACTAGTATTTGTAATTTGAGTTAATGAATTTAACTAGCGAAATTTGGTTAAAACTTAAACGAAATGAATAATATAAAACAAGTTTCTTAATTTTAATAAAATAAAATAACTTAATTATATACCTATTAATTCAAAAAAATATAAAATATTAATTAATTAAACTAATTAGTCAAATATTTATATAAAAACAATTTTTTGAGACAATTTTTGAAAATTCATAACATGTACTACTTATATACATAATTATATAAAAACATATATTTTATTTTTAAAATGTCAAAAATACATAAGAAAAATAATTAAAAAAAGTATTTTAAATTTTATAAAACTAATGATTTTAAGTCATCTGAAATTAAACAAGCTCGATGATTTATCTATATTATGGATAATCAAATTTGGGTGTCAACAGTTGTTCCTTTCTCTGGGTATGATCGAAGAAAAATATCCTGGATAAAGAAAATTGACAAATTCAATTTTTAAAAAAGATTTTGGTACATACTTTGAGAGGTTAGGGACAAATCCCGATACTAGGTTCTCTGCATATCAGGTTATATGAAAATTCAAGTCATTTGTATTTTGAGATGCTTGATTTGACACATGATTTTTAAAAGAATTCAAAAATTATCTCTATATCATATTATGGAGAGACCAAAAAACTTGGGAATAGAACGAGGAGATGTTGCACTAAGTTGAATTTTTAATATTGAGTCAGCCTACATATCTCTAAACATGAGAATCAAATTGCTTGTACTGTGATTCAATCGGTTGAAAAATAAATTTCTTATGCTAAGATAACCTTCAATTTAGAAAAGTGAAGAAAAAAATCGAGTATGAAAAAAGGCTCACGACTTTGATATTCAATTTTTTTTAGAAAATCATCTAATTCATGTTCAATAATCAATTCCTATATTCATATATAAGGGAAATTTACATAAATATGTACGGTATTAATCATTTATAGCAGTAACATTTTTTTTATTTGATCACTTTTAATTTATTTATAATACAAGTTTAATACATATTACAAAGAACAATCTATTATTCACATATAATACAAGTTTTAATGATGGATAGATAATACATTTGTCACACATTTATGATACAATGTGTCAAATTTTTACAAAATAAACATAATATATTGCAAATAACAATTATAATTCATTATAGATTGCATATATAATTCACTTTTAATACATATTCAGATTTAACATAGTATTACTATAAGTGATAATAAATAAAAAGTATCATTAAAATCAGTAATTATTTATTAAAATATATCAATTCACGTAATTTTCTTAATTTAATTGAACCTTTTTTTTAAATATGGTTTTAAAATATATATTTGTAGGTGCGGAAAGTAAAATGAAACCGAAGGGCGAAGGAGTAGGGTGTATATATATTGGGTGTTAGACAGAGACATCTGATGTGTGTGGGCAGCTTACATATCACGCGAACTCACAGTCTCTTTATTTTACATAGATAAAAACAATACGCAGGAAGACAAGAAACTCAACTCTGAACCAATTACATTCATTGAAATTCTTGCCGCTTTAACACCCAGGTAATCCGTTTTGATCCTTCATATATGAATGGTTATATCCTTGGAGTATTAATTTATGAAATTATTTTCAATTTATTTGGGAATCTAGGGTTTTATTGGTTCGATTTCACAGCATCTGATTCCCTAAACGATAACTTATGATTCTTGCGTCTAAATTTTGGGGATCTAGGGTTTTCTCGATTTATTGTTCTTGAATGGTAATTTGTGGATGTAGGCGGTGAGGATGTCGACGCCGGCTAGGAAAAGATTGATGAGGGATTTTAAGCGGTTACAGCAGGATCCGCCTGCTGGTATCAGTGGTGCTCCTTATGACAACAATATAATGCTTTGGAATGCTGTTATATTCGGGTATGCATGCCGGTTGATTAAATCATTGAATTCGGATACTTTATGATGATTGCTCTTGTACTTATGCACTTGTGTTGTTTCTTTTTCTTGGAATGCAGTCCTGATGACACACCTTGGGATGGAGGTGAGGAAAATAGAACCAGATTTTTGACTCTTAAAGTCCATCATGAATGCATTGTCACACACCTTGTACTTTACTTTGTGATTTCTGTTTTCCTTTTCAATGCTTAAATTGCACTTTGAGACACTTGTCAATGTGAGTGAATATCTTGTGTTGATACAGTCACTGCCACCTGAGTAATGCATATGCTTAGTGCTTTTCCAGTGAAGAAGGTTTCTAGGAATCTGTGTTTTGTATTGCATGACCATTCTCCCTCACCTTACTATAATTAAGATTTGCTCTCTCTTTTCCATCCATGATTTTCCTCTTTCACTAAAATGGAGGCTAAGAAGGCATGTCTTGTTTGTATGGGCAAGAACCCTAAGAGTTATAGCATGCCCTTCCCCCTATTTTAACTAGTGAATTGTGATTTCTGTGCAGGTACGTTTAAGCTGACACTTCAATTTTCGGAGGATTACCCCAACAAGCCTCCAACGGTTCGATTTGTATCCAGGATGTTCCATCCGAATAGTAAGTAGCCTAAGTAACGTTGCATTATCTTTCTCTCCCACTTTCACATAGTTCTAGTCCATAGAACAGGCAGAACTTTCAACTTTAAGCTTAGGTTGCTTGCTGCTTATTCAGTTTATCTTGTGGTGCAAAGACTAGTAGTATCGACAAGGAGTTATATGAACTCAGAGACCTTCATAAAATCAGTTATAGTGTTAATATTGCTTCTCACACCGTGTGAACTGAGAAGGAAGCTAGCTTCCTAGTTATTTTTTAATACCCTACACTGGCCACATATTCTGTATCACTGTCAATCCCATTTTGAAATTCCTTGTAGTGCACTCTCTCCCTCTATATCATCCTATCCTGCCCCTTCACCACCAATAGGCCATATGTATATCTGTGAAGAAATTCCTCAATCTTCTATTATTTCTAATCCTTTTTTGCTAGTCTAAGCTCTGTACTGTGTAGTCTGTCACCATGCCAATACTTGTGGAATTGTTTTGCCTAGAGTTACACCGCAGAGCCAGTCTATTTGAGACCTAATTCTCATGCCTATACAATATAAACATGTCCTTGTAAAGAATGTAAACAAAGTGCCTTTCCTCTTCATTTATCTCTTAAACATATACTCCCCACCAATTTCTATTGAACTGCTATCATTGTTCTTCACAGAGCATTCTCCTTTTTTGCTAGTCTAAACTCTGTGCTGTGTATTCTGTCACCATGCCAACACTTGTGGAATTATTTTGCCCAGAGTTACACCGCAGAGCCAGTCTATTTGAGAACTAATTCTCATGCCTAATATAATATAAACATGTTCTTGTAAAGAATGTAACAAAGTGCCTTTCCTCTTCATTTATCTCTTAAACATATAATCCCCACCAATTTCTATTGAACTGCTATCGTTGTTCTTCACAGAGCATTTTCCTTTTTTGCGAGTCTAAACTCTGTACTGTGTATTCTGTCACCATGCTAACACTTGTGGAATTATTTTGCCCAGAGTTACACCGCAGAGCCAGTCTATTTGAGACCTAATTCTCATGCCTATATAATATAAACATATCCTTGTAAAGAATGTTAACAAAGTGCCTTTCCTCTTCATTTATCTCTTAAACATATAATCCCCATCAATTTCTATTGTACTGCTATCGTTGTTCTTCACAGAGCATTCTCCTCCTGGGAAAATCTTAATAATACCAAACAATGGACATATATTATGTTATTATATCAGATGAGGAGTTTAACAGTTTATTCCCGTTCTCCCTTTAAACACATATCAACTCTTACATCCTCTCAACCTTTACAGAGGTCGTCCCAAATCCTTATCCCTGAATTTACCCTGATTGGTAATCCGCAACGCCATGCATCTGTAATTGGTAATTTTATTGTTTCAGTTCTAATGAGTTATTTGACCTGACACTTTCTTCAATTATTATGATATTTTGGTGATGGAAATGTTACAAGAATGTTCTTAATTTCCATTGCATACTGAATCCTCTGTTTCTTGAAGTTATTTGTTTGAGTATTTGTTCTTGGGACTTATTGAATTTGAGAGACTTAGCCATATTCTGGTAGATGCTTGGGTTGTGTGTTATTGAATATTCTCTGTGATTCATGCTAATGTAAAGTTTTGTGTATGTGTTAAGACTTACAGCTTAGTATATCTTCCACCTTATTCTAGATTAGGCCAGGTACTATATTGCTCTTTTATTGGCGCTGAATAAATTGGTCTCAAGATTTGATCTTGCCATTTACATGCATAATGCAGTCCAAAGTA